GGAGAATACGCGGAGCGCATCGACAATGCTGATGAGTTGCTGGAAAGCTTCCTGGAAGGCTTCCATGATGAGAACACACAAGTACAGCTACAGTTGCTCACTGCAATTGTCAAATTGTTCCTGAAGAGGCCCACGGATACGCAGGAGTTGGTTCAACAAGTGCTTAGCCTGGCCACGCAGGATTCTGACAATCCCGATCTGCGAGACCGCGGTTTTATCTATTGGCGATTACTGAGCACTGATCCGGCAGCGGCTAAGGAGGTAGTGCTTGCAGAAAAGCCTCTGATCTCAGAGGAGACGGATCTGCTGGAACCGACATTGTTAGATGAATTGATTTGCCATATCTCGAGCTTGGCATCCGTATACCATAAACCTCCTACTGCATTTGTAGAAGGCAGAGCAGCTGGCGCCAGGAAGTCGCTGCCCGCTAGAAGCAATTCGAACGAGGAATCTACCCGGGTAACTGCACAACCTCATGCACAGGTCATACCCGCTCAGGATTCTTTGATTGGCGACCTCCTCAGTATGGACATTGGTGAGCAAACCTAAATTTAAAATTACAAAATTAAAATGTATAATGATATTTAAAAAGTATGTGTTGTGTAAACGTTTTTGCTTCGAAAAATTTCAAGCGTATTTTTTTTATACAGGGTGTCCCATTTTAATGTCCCACCCCGAATAATTTTTTTATTTTTGATCTTAGAAAAAAATGTTTCAGACAAAAGTTGTATGGCTTTGAGGGGGACATAAGATGGTGTCATTAGTTTGACCTTGAATAGTTGCTTGGAACGGAGAAGGTCACGTGAAGATTATCTTCAATTTCTTAAATGGAAACCCCTATTTTTCATTGCATATTCTTGTAGCTTACCTCGAGAACTTTCCAAAATACTACAATAAAATATTTTTTGTCAAACTAATGACACTGTCTTATGTCCCCCTCAAAGCCATACAAACTTTTGTCTGAAACATTTTTTTCTAAGATCAAAAATAAAAAAGTTATTTGGGGTGGGACATTAAAATGGGACACCCTGTATAGTCGCAGATAAAAAATATATAACCCTCCTACTCTCTTATTCACTTATTGATTTACTTTGTTGCAGGTGGACCAACAGTGGTCACACCGGCACCTGCACCACAATCTTCGGGACTAGGATTGGATCTTCTAGGCGGTGGCCTCGACGGAATCCTGAATGACAATACAAGTGCACCAGCCGTTTCTCAGAGCACAACGGGTCTGCTTGGTGATATATTCGGCTTCAACCAAGGTCCCACGCCTTACATATCTCCCAAGGTTAATTGGCTACCAGCCGAAAAGGGCAAAGGTTTTGATATTTGGGGCACATTTTCGAGAAAGTAACTAATATAAACATATATTAATGGATACAGAGGACATCTGATTTACATCCTCTCGCTTGCAAATAATTATACTATACAAAATATGTTGTAGAAATGGCCAAATTAGTATGGATATGACCTTCACAAACAAAGCGATGCAACCTATGGGAGGATTCGCGATACAGCTCAATAAGAATAGCTTTGGTTTAACGCCGGCAGCCCCGTTGCAAGTTCCAGCTCCCCTGAGTCCAGGATCGAGTATAGAAGCAAATATTATACTGTCTACCGCGGGTGCGGTGCAACGTATGGAGCCTTTGAACAATCTGCAAGTTGCTATCAAGAACAATATTGACGTTTTCTACTTTGCGTGCATCGTACCTATGAATGTATACTTCACGGAAGATGGACAGTTGGACAAGAGAGTGTTTCTTTCTACCTGGAAAGATATACCTGCACAGAATGAGGTATTATTCATCTACTTTTTCTATGTTTGTCGAAAAATGGTTTTCTGTAAGATCCTTAATAAACGAAAAGAAAAGATTCTTTAAGAAACGTATCTTATTTGCAGGTACAATATACGCTAAACGGTGTAATGTTGACCGCGGATCAAGTGGTTCAAAAGATGCAACAGAATAATGTCTTCACAATTGCTAAGAGGAATGTGGAGGGACAAGATATGCTTTATCAATCTCTCAAGCTGACAAATAATGTCTGGGTATTGAACGAGTTGAAAATTCAGCCGGGCAATCCCGATGTCACGGTATGCTTAAGTATCATATTTAAATAATATTCTTGAGGCTTTCACGGGTGTTACCTATGTGACAATCTTGCGTTTCGCGGGTTTTCTCCGTGTTCAGATCCATTCTTGGAATGCCAACGTTTCGTGAACCTTGCAGTTCACTTCATCAGGGCGAGGAGCAGCCCTGATGCTCCATCAGGCTGCTCCTCGCCCTGATGAAGTGAACTGCAAGGTTCACGAAACGTTGGCATTCCAAGAATGGATCTGAACACGGAGAAAACCCGCGAAACGCAAGATTGTCACATCATATTTAAATCTTATCAACACGTTTACTATAGACATTAGCAGTTAGTTGTTTAAGAAAAGTTTTCTTATTCTTAGATCAAATATAATTTTATTTTGACTTAGTGTATATTTTTTTAAATACTCATTACAAAAATAATTATATGAGAGAATTGTTACATAGGATACTTTATACATTTTATATTACCTCAGATTTTATTGATCTTTTTTTATTGCAGCTGTCCTTGAAATCTCGGTCTGTAGAAGTCGCTCCTGGAGTATTTCAATCGTACAATGCGATTTTACATTCTTAAGTTTTCTTTCTTTCGTCAATTAGGATATTGCTGTAAGATGCAAATTATAAAAAAAATAAACGCGAACATGCGCAGCAGCTTATTTATAGAAGCTATCTATGTACATCCGCATGAGACTCGAGAGTATCTTGAAACACAGTACTACAGGAATCTCTGTTACAGATTGAATTTATTATAAAAATGACCACGGGCGTGTATGGAAATAAAGATTTATGATCATGTCTGTGTCCTTATTTATGTGGTTTTTTTTTATTTTAGATGTAAAAGATATAAAACATGTACACACTTTATGATCTTAAACGGTCTCTAGATTATCAATATTATCGCACAATATTTGACACAATACTATTGATTATTTGGAAGCTATGAGTTAATTCAAACTGTTTGTTTTGAATCGTTTAAGGACATGAATGTTATATAAAATAATTGTACAGTATTGTGGGGGCTATTTTTTACATTTTCAACCATATATATATGCAAGTGGCAATAGAATGTAATATATATTCGGTGGAGTATAAAAATTAATTAGTTTTCGTGAAATTTATCGTTCAACTTTTAATATTTCATAAAACTTTGGCTTCAAACATGTTTCTGTTCACAATATTCTCAAATTTATCCAGTTATAAAATTTTCATTTTAAATATGCTATAAAAAATTGGATACAACTACTAAGACTACTTATCTAATTAAATTTATGTCTTAAAGAGAGTCTAATTTAAACTCAGGAATATTTATACAATTTATCATTTCATATCTATCTCAAATGATTAATTTTATTCAAAATAATTTAATTTTTAATATTAAGGCTCCTATTCTGCAACTCTTAGGCCGGAATCAGACTACGCATTAAAGATTGAGATCGAAGATTGAAATTTGACCAATGAGGGCAAAGGAATTTTAGTTCCTATTGTTCTTGGTTAAGTTTCAATCTTTCAATCTCAATCTTCACTGCCTAGTCTGATTCCGACTTTAGTGACAGTGTTGATTACATATTGTTGCACAGATTTTATTCATTTTATACACGACTAAAAAAACTGAAACAACAATGTAAAGATACCGATATAACTACAGTTTATTAACACAACTTATGATAATAAAGAATCAATTTTAAGTTTCTAAAAAACATTCTGCAAATCTTTTGCATTTACTGCAGTATATCCTGTATGTTATACAGGTAGGTAATGTCTTGCAGTATGAAATAATACTATAATACATAATGTGATCGTGTTTATTTATCGAATATAAAGAGAGAAATCGAATACATATCGGATAAAATTAACACTGGACTTTTCTTCTAAAAGAGCATCCCTCAGTTAATCGTGCTTTCCCACCCGTTGGCGTACAAAGTATCGTACGGCATCCATCACATTCTACTGGCCTCTGGGCATGTGAGAAAATTGTTTTGATAGCATAGCAGCCCGGGCATTTGACATCCATGAAATAACTGTTAGGCTTCTGTACGAGCCTCTTCAGTTTGTGTTTCCTTTTTTCCTCGATGGGGCTCGGATGGAGGAAATCTCTGGCCAGCGGCATTCTGTAAAATAGATCCAACCGTTAAAAACTCATATTCGAGGAACAGAATTATAAATCCTTCAAATAGCACACTTTCTCGCGTGTATTTAAATACAATTTGTTGTACTACAAGTAAAAATGTATACATATAATATTGTGCAATCTTGTGCGATACATGGTATAACAATAACATTAGGATTGCTTAACGAAAAATTACAAATATAACGCGAGCTCGATTTGTCGAATGCTTTTCCGATACAAATACGACAATCAGAAACGTTAATTAACAACTACCGGACAATTTGTGTATAATGGGTGATACCGCAACGGAAGCAAAAGCGCAGTAGCATGCCGCTCACAAAATGAGTGTGAAAAACTATTTGCCGGATTAACTGGGTCCACCACAACATAGACTAACGGAATTCACGCAACAGCGAATAAAGTGGTGCAAATACTTACATGATCCGCAAAGTATTTCACCTTAAATTCGATAATTATAGTCGTAACCACGTGTTTACAGTACAACGTTACGCACTGGAAAGGAACAGTATAGAATTTGACGCGAAATATTTAAAACCCCAGACCAGAAGAGTCCGCCAGTGTCGCCAACTTCTGTTCATAATTGGGCATAAATTTTATTGATTGGTCAATTGGACTAAATAAATCTGGACAAGTCATAAAAGCTTTTCGCGCAAAGTAAAGACAAATGACGTGACGCATCTTAAACAAATTTAATCCTTGATGTTATCATCTGTGGAATGCAAAGTGTATTTAAAAAAAGTAAAAATAAAAAATATTAAATCTTTTAAAACTTGATGAAACCAACGACTTTATGTAAGCGCGATAAATTTTTTCAATAAATTTCTGCATTTTCTCGATAATATTTATTTAATTTTCTTGTGAAAGATTAAAGGAAAATATTTATAGAGACAAAAAGGCTCCGTTCAACAGAGAAGTGACTGTGTACATATACCGTGTACTTGATAAAAAAGAATAATTTTTAACTAAACAAGGGTATATACTATGTCTTCTGTTGAGACAAAATCGAAGAAGAAGAAAGTACTTATGATTTGCTTAGGTATTATAGGAGATATCACATAACCCATAAAATACTTGGTAATTATTCAGAATACCTCCCTCACCTCCGATTTCGATGAAATTAGGCTTATTCGACGCGTTTTTGCACAAAACGAAAGAATCTGGCAGAAAAAAGTGTCGCTCTGCCTCGCGAACCGAGATATTTAGCGTTAAAGTTGACGACTCTGCAGGTTAGGAAATC